AATGTCAAAACTAATAGTCTCTCTTCATTGGATGCAATTTCAAATCCTCAACATGCTTCTCTCCAAGCATTGCTAACATGTAAAATGACCTAAGAAAATCTTAAGATCACAATTATACACTGAAATGGATTAAAGAACATATTATAATGATCTTGCAAATGATGCTGTAATGGGAAGAATGGCTGACAAACTGAAATCTTATGGCCCTTATCTCCCAGAAAAGCTTAAAATTAAAATAGCCTAATGGCAAGAGTGGGACCTTGGGTGAACAGACTGAGGAGTGAATTATCACACTAATTATGTAGATATACACCAAAATATTAATAATCCGCAGTTAGCAAGAAACATTTCGGCGATGGTCCATTTCCTGTGTAATCAGAGACACAGAACTCTTCAGCTGCAGAGAAACAGGAAATTCAGAGAATTAACTGGCAAACTGTCCTATAATCAACAGTGTACATAAAAAAAATTCCAGCAATAAATAGGCATGCATATTATAAATACTTAATCAAGTAAAGACATTTAATTGATTAGTTCACAACATCATGGAAAAATTATCCATACTTGGAACATACTTGTATCTATCTCGCTACATAAATATAATGATGTAAAGTACATTTCATTCAGGAAGTAAAAATGTTCTTATATTGTAAATATTATCAAAATTGCATTGTAACAAATATATTCTTCCAAAATTGTAATGTTACAAACAGTGTATCAAAACTGTTATTATTGTATAAAATTATATTACATCAAATACATTGTGTACCAACTGTTCTGTATGCATGTATAAAATGTATTATACCAAATTTATTGCTTACACCTTAGGTATGCTTTACGCATGCGCACTTGATTTTTTTTCTCTCCCACAAAAAAACATATGGAGAGTTCCGATTCTTAATTTCACTTCAGCACTAAATAAAATACCTCATTATAAACCATTCTACATAGAAACATTGTTGATTTTACACCTACTAATATTTTATATTCTGGATGCCCAACATGGTGAATCATTATTTATTACATTTTGCTTTCATCACCGCATGTTTATCAGCATATGGCAACTTGAGTAATAACTCATGCGGCTATGCCTATTTACAGAATTTTTTTTACACTAGTAATTGAATAGGAAAGAATATGATAACCTTTTATGTTAACATTACGCTTGGCGATGTTTAAAGTTAAATGCACTAAGAAATGTTGACAAAAAATTTAACAAAAAATTCTTTTCATATGCTAAAAGTAGATTTTGCTCATGATACTAATGGGCCAAAGATTACATTTAGTGCAGTATGAATTAAGAATAATTGATTTGTTACTCACATAAATCCAGAACCGGCTCGTATGGCCGAATTTAGCGAAAACAAAATTTTTGGAATTTAGAGAAGCACCGAGCAACAAAATTAAGAGATGATAACATTTTTAGAATTTAGGGAAAGCACTGACATCCAAAATTTAGAACTTATGAAGGGGCTTCGTAGCAGAATTTAGGACCCACAGAGACTGAATCAGGTTGTAAGATATCTAACACCGGCTCTCGATAAATATATGTACGTACGTATATATATATATAATAAGTATATCAGTGCTGACTGTCATATATAAAGTGTTTGTAAGATATAAAAATATGATGGAAATTTAATAACAAATTAAACTTAAATGGAATAAATTGACAACAGACTTTTAAATTACTAAGTTTTAATTAAAGTGTAACCCCTTCAATATAACTGTTTTCCCTGCAGTCATGGCAATGCAAAAACTTTTGCCCAATCGCTGTGCATGATTAAAACAAAGTGGTCCGAGATTACAATTACTACAACAACTATTATGTACTTTCTTGTTGCCTATACTGGCTAGCTTAAATAATATCTCTTGCTTGGCTGCTTATATTTATTATTAAAAATGTAAAGCATCGTAACCAAAATTGTGAGGAATGCAGATTGTTCCCATTGTGCTGTACCATGCCGAAGAGTTATAAACAAGTAATAAAGATGTATTTGGGTTTTATCAAGCAAATTTTTAATTCTTCAAAAGGTCCCATCATTTTCTACTATGCAATCAACATATCAGTGATCTTCTAACTTCAATCCACTCATGACTGCAAAATAATTAGTGTTTTCACTAGTTAAGGACTCATCTAATAACAAATTATCTGCAATGAACTAAATTATCATCACATGTATACTATATGGATATTTTTAATAAAGATGGGCATGACATTATACTAATTAACTGTATGGTAAAGGAATAGTGCCCATGTTCTCCATCACTTACTCACTCACTACAGCAGTCGGCATCACTAACAATTGTCCTGGTTGGGCAGCCAATATTGCTAATAGGTATAAATGGGCCCGACAACAGCATTTCACTATAGGTTGTACAAGTATAGTGTGAACATTAACTGTAAAGCTCCGCTTTAATTTTGGAAAACACCTCAGGAAGCAGTCCAAGGATCTCCCATCCCTTATCCCCTACCACTAACCACTTGAGAGGATTCCCAGCTCCTCGGAAATTTTTTTGCCACTTTTGCTACTAAGACACTGTACACCAGGCGTTCTTAACTTTGTGCACCCGCGACTGTCCATTGTATACTATATTAATATCAAACGTGGCCAACCTGCGGCCCAAAAATTGCATTAAATGCAACTATTTTGAATCTTTTATTACCTTTTTAATGTACGGTATTGTTCATGATGCTTATGACTGCAATAAAATAAAGAAATATTAAGAATCGTTATACTTTTTTTTACTGTGCCTGCTAGCATTTTCTGTTTGTCAGATATGCCCAGGCAGGGAATAAAGTTAAGAACCCCTGCTGTACACTTACAAACATCCATGCCTTCTCCAGGATTCAAACCTGGGTCCACTGGGACAACAGTCAGCACCACTAACTACTACACCATCTGCAATATTACCAATTATTATACAATTATTAATTAGCAATATTTCCAACAAAACTCCATTTTCCATTTCATTGCTAGCCAGCACATTAAAACGTCATTCAATTAAATTTAATCAATCAATGGTTCTAAAGATCTGGTGACACCTATTTCAAACACAGAACTGGACGTGCTTGAGATGTGAAATGAGTGCAACATTTAAAAACTCGCAAATGAATGATGAAAAGTTTCTTTTTCTGACATTCATCTGAATTTAAAAAATAATAATTCTACAAGGAAATAAAATCTTCTCGCTTTAACATACCCTCAATAGCACTAGTTTAAATCATTTCACTTTACTGATGCAGCAAAGGAGTAATTTGATAAACAATTTTACATTCTTATCCTAAAACATAACAGATGCAAATTATTCTTGTAAAATTTAAAAAAAAAAAATAAATAAAAATTGCTAACATCAAGCATGCTTTCTTGACATACATATTTTGCTTCTAAAATAATTTCTCTTCATTAAATCATAAAATTCGAACATTACTTCGAAAAATTCCTGAATAATTACACCTACTTAAAACCAAAAGGCCCGACTCAAATTTCTTTTTCCGGTTTAATCCTAGTATCCGGTGCACACGGGATTTGGCTACTTTTGGCAACTTTTTGATGAGCATTAAAAATGGGTCATATACGATGAGTAGTTAACGAGTCATTTAAGGAAAATATACAGTTAAACATAGTATATACTATGTATATAGTATGTATACTATGTGTGTATATACATATACTATGTGTGTATAGTATATATATATATATATAGACGTTCTTTGGATCATTTTTGGTGATGGCGATAATTTTCAAAGTCGCGCCAAGGCTGCACTGTATACTAGGATTTTACCCTTTTTCCTTTAACATGAATTTATAGGTTTCAGAAAAATCTGCAACACATACACAATTATTTAATTACAGTTGTTATATTCATAGAACATATCAAGTAAAACTATCTACATAAAAAGATACAGATTTTAATTTGCCTGAAATATAAATGACAAGAATAGTAAAGGTAAGTGTTCTCTGTCAAAACAAGATATTCATTCATGCAATTAAGTTACCAATTAATTATTACAAACTTGAAGTTTGTGCAAATTTATTGTTAATGTACATTTTATTAAAAGAAAATCTACAAAAATATATGCCTTTCAATAACACAACAATTAAGAAATAACTATTTATTAGTGCTGACTATTTTGTTTACTTATATATAAGATCTCCTGAATATAAAAATTAATTCTTCAGAGCACATTTACAAGTAACACATCAGCTCAATAAGCTAAATAGATTGGATGAATTATATTTACTTACATATTTGCTTCTTCAATACAATGACATAATGTAGCAATTTTAAGTTTTCCTAACATTATAAAGCACTAAAGGTCGGTAAAATCTATGTTTATATTAATCTACTAACAATTATTTCATAAAAATAGTTGCACACATATAGTTGCACAAATCTACAAAAATGTAAATCTAACATGCAACTTCGATTTCTTTTCTTTATAATATTCAAAAAATAACATAATACTGAAGGGAGGTTAATAAAAAATGCAGACTGGATAATTACTTCAATTATGCTGAATATGTTTACTAAATAAATATAAATGTTAAAAAGCAAATAACTGTTGAAGTCATTTACAGAGTAAATGAAACGTATTCCTCAATCCCGTCAAATAACGCCTTTTTTAAAATGTAATTAGATCATTACATTTCTACATATTCGCTTTAAAACCAAGAATACGAGCTTCGCAACTTTAAAGTATAAGTATAAAGTGAATTACAATCAAAAATACTTGGTTTCGCGCCTCAGTTAATACAAACAATGTATCACAGAAAAGTAAAGTAAGTAGTATAAAGAAATAAGTTCGACAAAACGTACTTAGTTGTACCATCGTCATCGATCCTTGGGCATAAACACAGCGATGACATAATCGGTCACCGCTGAAGCACTAAGCCTAATACGGCTCCTTAAGCCTAACACGGAATGGAAGTAGCTTAGAAAATTAGAATACAAATATAGAAAAAGCAGTAGCTACTAGTCTGAATATACGTACTTACCGCGTAAATTATAGCAACAAATAGATCCCTGGAATTATTCAGCAAGGCACACACATATCCTTTACAGCAGCGATTACATAATAAAAACTGTAAACAAACTCACGTCTCTCATGAGTACGCCATGACAGTTTTTTTTTACAGTTATTTCCCAGAATGCTTAGCGGCTAGAGGTGAAACTTGCGCATGCGTCCTCCAATCCAATTAATTTTTTGAATAATTAATTAGCAGAGTAAAAATACCTTCTCCTGTGAATAAGGCTATTTTCACGGCTGGCCCGTGACTAAGATACTCTTTACTGTTGCGGGTGGTGACAAAAACATAGCAGGAACGGAAGACGCCAAAGAAGGCTTCAGAGCCAAATTGCATGCGGATAGCGCGATCAGAGGCGAGAAAAATCTGCGTGGCGTCGACGTTAAAACACTCCGATGACTCACCCGGCCATTTTTAGCTAGATTGGCGCGTGTTAATTAGGCGCCGGCATTAGCCCGATGAGACGATCCTTTGCGAGCCGCGGCCACGACCGTTGCTCGACGAGCTCTCTGCTGTGGAGCACGACCGCATCGAAGCCAGCTGTGAGTCGAAGTTATCGATTTTTTTAGGGGGGCCGATAGTAGAAGTGTCTGACTGCTCCCACATGTGTCACATTTTCATGGCGCACGCGGCGAAGCAACATTAATTCCACCATTGTTAATGACTTGTGCTGCGATTTGCCGCCGGAACGTTCAGTTTTGCGTGGCGCTCCGCGAGTGCTGCACGCGTCTTGTATTCCTTCGTCTGAGGTGGAAAAAGTAAACGAGTTTTTTTTTTTTCCCCTCATCACTTTTGTTTATATTGCTTTCTCTTCTTATTGCACGGCGTGGTGGCTTTTCGTATTCATATTCAGCTCCTCTAGGTCGATGTGGCCTGACAACTTTTCATTAACAAGAAATTTGCGAGATATATATGGCAACAACTAGAAGCAGACGATGTTTCACACCTTTTCGGATGCTCTCATTGGTAAGTTGATCAGGTTTCTGTTTCTCGTACCGGAAAGTTTGAATTTTAGCATTAAACTTTCGCGTTCAAAGTTCAGTTTAAAATTGAGTGTTATAAAAATGACTTGTTCTGTGCATTTTCACGCTTATTCCGAATTGTTTGAAACATGGCATATTTTTTTTTTTTATCTGTACTTAAAAACGTTGCAAATATGTAAAGCATTCTGTATTTATTATTTTGAAATTCATGATTAGTCCGTACGTTGCGCGAATTTACGTGACTCTAATTTTGCGGTTTAGGTGTTCCAATAGAAAATGTTAAATCTTATAAAAAAATTAAGAGTTTTATTTTTATAGGAATATAGTGTATAAAAACCCGAAAAAATATGCGTAAGATTTCATACATTATGGTATTTTCTGTATAAAGGAAACTAAATAATTGAAAACCGCTGAGCAGAACAGAGCGTATGCAACGGATTTATGTCCGAGCAGACATATTAAAAATATAAACATATTTTTTTTTAATTCTCCCTTGTTATTTTGTTGTTTTCGGCAAAATGTCATATAAAGATTGTATTTTCAACTCTATATGTAAAATAATGCGGTAGAATATAGTGAAATTTATATTTTCTATTTAAAAATGCAATGATCTTCCTTTCCGTAGCAAGTTTTTTGCATCGCAAATAAAGAAAAAATATTTATACTCAAATGTGCGTTACCGGAATTGTTCTGAATACGAAACTTAGCTGTTTTACTTAAAGATTCGATTTAATCTTTTATTTTTATTTTTATAGTTCAGTATTGTAACGAAAATATGTTTCAGTTAAACTACTGATTTGGAAATCGATCCATTGACTCCCCTTCTCTCCCCCAAATGGCATTTCATTAAATGTTGGAAGTCTGAAGGAAAGCAGAAGTCAAAATGCGCGCGGAAGTTTGCTGCTAAGAAAACTTTTAACCTTCAACAAATTACTATTCACCTTTGTCTGAGGTCAGTTATATTTTCTTGCGCTGGAGTTTCTTCATCCCCGATCTGTTACAGTATATTTTTGTACATCTTGATTTACTATGTAGAGCAAATTATTGTTCTTAAGACATCCAAATTTCATTTCCCAAATCTTATCATTATATGAGAAAGTATGAGATTACCTTTTTGGAATAGTTATGAAGTAAACAAAGAAAGAAGTTGACAGGTGAAAATGCATAAAATATAAATATGTTAGGACTGTTTTATATATATATTTTAATGCGGAAAATAAGAGGAAAATATCTGTTTAACTTCGAAGTTTACTTAAGAAGACATAAGAAAGCATTAAAAATTAAATATCCATGTCACAAAGAGACTATGAAGTCGATTTTGTAATGAAACAACATATTCGGATATATATGCATGTTTTTACTTTTGCATATAATTTTTTGTTCTTTATCGATTTCGAGGATGTTTTATCACATCATTATTATCACGATTAATATTGAATATATTAAAATATCCTAATGTTTATGACTTTATTAGCACCACGCGCCTATGCTGATGCATTGCTGGCTTGATTATCAGTACTTTGTAATTCAATGCAGAATTTTAATGCTAATTGTATTTCTATGCTTATTATCTTTATTATAATTATTACTACTACTGTGAGGGTAACATCTTTCAGGTTATGCAAATTTCTCACCATAGCCTAAAATCTGTTATTTTAGAAATGGCACTTCAAGGCCATCTCTCATCCCGCAAATCATGCCTCATAACTATGGTAACGACAGCTGCGAAGAAAAAATCTAATTTGCTAACATCACTTAATTCCCTTTATGGGGATGTGTAACATCACCTTTGAGACATAAAGCGTATCTCGCTTAGCATTCGTTTACCACAACACCACAGGTAATGACGGCACGCGTTGCGATCGTAAATGGCAGAGGTCGCTACTGCCTTGAAGTGCGTATTCTAAAGTAGGACTACAGTAAATGATGCTGAATAGTATATCGTGTAAATTATTCATAGAAAATAATCAGCGCAATTTGTGTGATTAGAGATTCAAAATTTTTTTCAGTTTTTTGCATTTCTTTGATAAAGTATTTATTTTTTAACTCACCTTCTCCAATATTTTCTTTCCATACGTATTAAAAACCAGATAATAATAGAACATGCAAAATTTTATTGAGGGTTGTTAGAAAAAAAGGAAGAAAGAGAAAGAAAAGAAAAATTGAATAACTAGTACAAATTTTATAAATTCTTCCGCATAAAAAAATTACTAAATAATCCCACTGGAGTACAAGACTTAGTTATTGATGGGCTTTGTAATTATTTTAAGAATAAGCTTATATTTTTGACAAGTGTTTAATACATTAATATAAAATTTTCTTTCGCATATCTGAAAGAAAAATGAAACTGTTTTTATTACTGACTGATTTCTGTTATAATCTAGGGCAAGATTTTTGTTTAAAGAAAGAAAGCAAACGAAAGTGTTTTCAGATAATTAAAAATAAATAAATAAAAACAATAAATTATTTTTATTCTTTTTCATGACTGGAAGAGAAGTTGTATTTCTTTGGCAGCCATTTTTAGGAGAATTTTCAGCATTTTGACTTATTTTAAAAAACAAAGAATCCTGTAAATATTTGACGATTTTGTTGGTATTAGAATTCCGGAAAATAATGTTAAGAAATACTTTGACTCCTCTCCTTTCTCTCCCTATCTGTTTCTCTTCTCTCGTGTTTTATCTTTTTCATGGAATGCTGGAAAGATGTTCAGAGTTTTCAAATAATCTAATAAAAGTTCGTGAAACCTGAAGCAATTTGTTTTGCTTGTTTTCTCACAATCAGAAGTTTATTTGCCAATTAGGCACATGCCTACTGGATAGTTATGTCAAGAACAGTAATTCTGCTAAGATTGTCAATTCACACACTATTATGCAAGTTTTTATTTATTTTACTTTGTGCTGGGGAGATTTTTCATCACTAAAATGGAAAAACAACAAGCATTTTCTAAATAAAAGAGGAAAAGTATTCGCATATTGAGTTGAAACACATCTAAAGGAGATTTAAAATTAAATTTTAAAAAGATTTAAAGTGATTAACGAACAGCTCAGTTTCATAATATGTTTCCGATAATAAAATAATGTTCACTGACGAATTCTCGACAATAATTAAAAAATAGCTATTTATTTCAAAATCATGGGAATTCAGTGCGAAAGTTTTGACTCTACTTGCGAAATATTCAATTGAAAACTCGTGAAACTGTTAGAAAAGATTGATTAATATTAGTTATTTTGTGCAATGTCTAAAAATTCATAGGACAGCAGTTAAAAATATAATAATCTAGTTAATAAAATCAATGTATATAAGGAGCAACAACTGAACAAATTAAGAAAGGAAAAACTTTGTTGTTTGAATTGCAATCTGAAAGATAAAAAAAAAAAAAAAAAAATTATCAAAGACGATAGGTTATGGATTCATAAAAATAGCTTTATTTTTTAAATGTCACAAAATGTTTTAGGAGCTATGGCAATTGATTAAAAATTAAATTGAATGTTTGTAAAGCTCCAGAAATGGATTAGTTCTTTTGCATTAGCTAGTAAAAAAGCAGAGGAACATTATATGTTTATTAACAACTTATTTTGTAAAACTGAAGTTCCACTTTGTTACGCAATAAAGTACAAATTAAAGGAGAATCCTCTTAGATGGATTTTTGATACTGAAATGATTCCTTCTTCAGCGTTTAGATTGATTTTATTAAGAATTTTATCTACGCGTTGGCTGCAGCTATTGGGGATAGACACGGCATAAACCAAATTCTGGTAACTTCTGTCATCAAAAGGCTTTAAAAAAAATTCTGATAACTTCTGTCTTCTTCTGAAATTCCTCTGTATTTATCAGTATCTTTATTACATTTCTTATGATATAGCACTGGTCAACGAACTGTGCTTCTTTCACGATTCAGCATCACCTTCTCAAAAACCGTCTTGCTTTAAGTTAAAGCTGGCTTTAACTTAACCATCACAACCTTTGTAGATATCACCTTATCACTGGATGGGAAATCAAGATTCTTGACCGAAGGGAACTGCCATCCGTCTAGGGCATTAAACTCATGTTTTTGCCAAATGTAACAAAATACTAATTTAAATAGGCCATTTTCAATATAATGCTACAAGACACCGGAACTGTCGTATGCCGGCGCGTGAAAATTTCTCCATTTGACATTCTGGAAGCTGTTTATTTTTTAAATGAGTCTAAACTTACTCAGTTTTGGTAATGTTCTAGTTTCGAATTAATCCAGTTTTCATAATAGATCAGTTTCTCTTAAAGGCCATTTCTCATTATTGTAAATGTGCAGATCCACCATGTGTTGATCATCAGCATTAAGTGTTATTCACCGTTGTTAACATTTCAAAAACTTTGGATCGAAACTTTAACATCAATGAACGTTGAAATAAGAATTAAAAAAAAAAAAAAAAAAAAAAATAGATAACTGTAACAAAGGGTATAGTCGTCGCCCAGACGAGAAAGTGGTTAGCGATGATGGCTGCCGTACCGAAGAAGGGATGGATATTTGTAAATATATAGTGTCTGTGCGCCATGGGGACTCTCAAAATATTTCGCGAGCCGGAAGTCCTCTCGAGAGGTTGTGGTAGGGAAAGATGGGTAGGAGACACTCGGATCTGCCCCCGCGGTGCTCAAAACTGTTGCCAACGGCAGACGCAGTCTTGTACTTCTTGCCACGATAATGATTGTCTTGTTCTGATTACGTCAGACAAGTGAGACTAGTAGCAGCATAAAACAACGAGAGCTTAGTGGAGTGTGGGTTTACATAAAAATTCATCGCAAGGAGGAGAATATTTTTGTCATAGGTATGAATATATAATTCAAATTTCCGTCGATAGACGGCATTGTTGCATATTGACATTAACGATTACAGTCAGAATAATAATGAAATGAATTATTCACATACAAGAAATCGGTTTCATAGCGAAAAAGAAATTATTCATTTACAGAAGAAGTTATTCGATACCGTATTCAGTGATGACT